ACAAATGACTTTACAATATCTTTATCATTTTACATGCATGCATTAGATGCAATTGTAAATAAATGGTTATTTCATGATACCTCTACTGCATTTACCTTGGTACATTTCAGCATAATTTGTTTTCCAACCTATGTGTTTTATAAAGTTCTAGCAATTATGTTTCAACTATGAACTTTATGCTGTGAATACATCAACAACAGAACTTTAGTACTTTAGTATTCAGAGAAAAGTTGTGATGTCATTCACCTCACAAAATGATTTGCCAATAAACTGGATTTAGACTGGTCATAAATCAGGACACTGATTGGGAAAGCAAACACTGTTTATCTGTTTATCTATTTGCTAAATTCCTACTCACTGTGAATGCAAATGTAAAAGACTGCAGCTTGGATCCTGGGTATGTTATATTTAAGACTAAATGATCTGTCGCTGTGTCAGTAAGAGCACTCCAGTTTCCAGGCCCTCAGTATGGCTTGACATCTGCCCTTCCCCATTCTCTGTTTGGCTTGCAGTGTGCTTCTCTGCAAGGATGAGGTCAATGCCATGTAACCTCCAAGAGACAAATATTGAAGATCAATAAATGTTTTTTTCTCTCCTGCAAATCACACATGGGAGGGGCGCGTTTAGACAACAATATTGTCCATATACTGTATACTATACAGTATATAATGTATATAAAGATCAGCTATAGTTCCTTACAATCTTGAGCAGCCTGATTAATGAATAAGCACTAATGTAGTTTAAAACACTAAAATATATACATTATATTCTAATTGCTCACTGCTAAATGTTTAATAATTGCCTGCATAGAGTCTACAGTACATGTGCATGATGAATCAATCCACAAATGTGATCTAAACTTGGTTGTGTTTAAACCGAGTACCAACTTTGTGCAATTAAAGTTATTTATCTCTCTTTTCAGAGATCATCAATTATATTGAAATACACTTAATGCCCATAAGAGGGATGATGTATGATTGGTCTAATTATTTCTTATTCATTATGCTTTCTAAAGCATATCAATTTTGTTAATACCATGTAATTAAAACATGTCAGTGCACTACAAGTTGCAGGCTTTATTAATGACTATGAAAATTATTTTTAATTAAATAGCCAATTACAGAAAAATCCTAACCATGAGAATTGACATTTAAATGAATTTAATTTAAATTGCTTTTCAACATTGTTTTACCAAAGCCTTATAGGATGAATAAATTATTACATCAACCAATATGCAGTGTCATTGATCATACAGGAGTCATATCCCAGCTCTACTTTTAAATACTACTCTGCCATAATGCATTAGTGTTATGGTTATTCATCACGGCTGAGACCAGTATGAGTTTGCTCTATGCCTTTTTCACTTCCTGCTGCATTTGTCTTCACATTGTTAAATACCATAGCTGGTATGTGAACTGAAACACAATCTGCTACTGGCATTTCTTTTTCAATTGCAATGTCTTTCATCTGTGTATGTCACGTATATTTTACAATATCTGTGTAAATATCTTTTAAATGTCACTTATGCTACTTAAGGAATTTTATGCAATATTATTAAAAAGTAAGACTATTCTGAATATGAAATATTGACATAAATAGATCGCATTCCACTGCAGCCCCAGCTTAGGTCTGATTAAATTTTAAACTGAGATACAAGGAATACCTGCACCAGGACTCTTCTCTGTACTGGCACCTGGGGAATGAATTTCCCCCGGCTGTCTTCAAACAAAGACTGAAGATCTACCTCTTCATCAAGCACTTAAAAAAAAATACATTATTGCATTAAGGCATTGTACTCCTAGACTCTGACGTATTTGTACAAAATGGATAGGTTTTTGGTAGAAAAATTGTTCTCGATTAGAGCATTTGCCAAGTCCTGTGTATGTAGGCTATATAGTGAAAGAGTAGCATTATGAGTCATTTAAAAGAAGAAAGAATCTACCATTATTTAACGTTCTAATGTCAGTTGAGGAACGTGACTTTGAGCTTGAAACACTTACACGTTTACGCTCAATCAAGTAACGATAACCAAGATGTCACGAAAATCTGTAAAATATATTGGATGATATAATTCTTGTTAATCTCGTATGCCAGGGTTACATCTGTAGTATGTTTAAGGTAGTAATTCTTGTTCCATAATATCCATATCCATTTATCCATAATACTCTGCTTTAGCTGCATATTTGTAATTCACAGTATAGATCTCACTGCAGGAGTCTTTAAGGTTAGAATGCATTAGTGTAATTGTAATGTGCGGTTCTACCATGGCGGGTCCTGCTGTGTGTCTACAGTTCTAATGGAGCCTGGATTCATCAAGTCTACCCCGAGTATTAACCCCTTAAATCCATAGGTTATTATTCACTTATTCATCTTAAAGCATTTTTTTCAGTGAATATAACAGGAAATGGGTGTAGTTACAAGAATGAGGAATGCGAGTTTAATAGTTAAAACTGTTCAAACCGAAAGATCATTGATGCCTCGTTGTCACCTGCACTTTTCCGTAGGGGTTTTTATGACTAATTTGCAGTTAACCCATGCTAACATGAAAAACGGTAGGCAAACTATTGTGACATTCATTGTTTATAATGAAATCTTAATATGGTGAATATTTAAGCAAAGGTTAGCAACATAAAGGGCAAATGGATTGTCTGGCTATGAATTTTAAGCAGTTATTGATTTTCACACTACCTCTTTGCCTGAATGGTAATTGCGAAATGGTTCTCTTACTTATCTTAAGGCCCATCTACCTAACATGCCTTTCTACAGGCTGTGGTGCTGCAACTATAATAGTAACAGTATAGCAGTAGGTGTGGATTCCTAGTTCTTGTTCTAATAAATCACCTTGTCCCTGAACTTGGTCTTGCATTACGCTTGAATACAGCATTTCACAAAAGTAGCTTTCTAAAGTATTTCTACAAAGAAGGAAGCTCTAAAAACCTGAGCTGTTTGTTTGTTAATGACACCAGCACCAGCTTGCACCCCAGACGTTACATCATCAGTCCTGATGCTGCTTTGGTGTGCTCACAGATGAAATGCAATCCATGCGCATCACCTAGACTTGCGTTTCACCACCTTATCGACAGAAAACAGCAACCCTATCCTGCGTACAGCCTCGCTGAATGCATCCTCCCCTGCTGTGTAGACATGTTAGGTTACTATAAACTCACAGAGCTGTCTGTATTTTATTTGACACATTTTAATGTTTAAGGCGTATGAACAGTTTTAAAAAAGTCACAGAGTCATTACTGGTCTTAGTGACCATCATGTACTGTTCAGCAGCAGCAATAGACGTATGGTATGGACCCTTCACCGTAGAAATCTTATCTGATTTTTACAGCAATAACGCTATGAATGTGGAACGTGAATGAATAATTATAATTATATAGATACAAATAAACAAAATGATACAATCACTGACAAAGTAATGGAAAAAGCTAAATGTGATGCATGTGCCTTAATACAATATGTAAAGAAGTGACTGAGAATATAAGTACAGGATGAGAAAACTACATAGAGAAGGGTATTATAAAAGGGTTGCAATGTATAAACCCCTTGCTATAAAGACAAATACACATTTGAGGGGTATGTAGTGCAAAACCCATAGACACTGGTTTACTATATGTGGGGAGAATGAAAGTGATGTGGTCAGATGAATCATGCTTCATGTGTGGCAACACCAAGAGAACAGCAAAGGCCTGAATGCTTGAGGGGTCCAGTGGTTTTGATTGTTGGCATGGTTTGTGTCCACGTGTCCCGTCACGGGGAAGGGTCACTGTAAATCAATACTAAGTTCTTCTGACTGATCACCTTTATTCTGTGATGAAACATTTCTATCCTGATGGGAGTGCGCTCTACCCGGATGACTCTGCCTCCACTCTTACTGCACGAGAGCTCACTGATTGGGTATGAAAATGACAGAAATCATAAACCATGGCCTTCTCAGTCACCAGATACCAACCCAATTGAACTCTTATGAGAGATATTAGAGCGACGTCTTAGAGAGTGCTCTCCACCAACATCATCAAAATTCCAATTGAGGTTAACAGTAGTTATGAACCTCTGAGGAAATACGTAAGCATTTGAGTGCAAAAGTCTGGACATTCTTAGGATGAAATTAATAAAACAGAAAACAAATATGTAGAAGTCCCTTTATTAGGTTTGCAGAGGTTCCTTACAACTCACAACAGTTGCCAAATAATGTCCATTAATAGCAGAGATTTTAATTAATAATAGCATAGATAGATAGATAGTGACAGCAAAAACTTCGAAGTTTGAATCTCCTTTTCTAAACTTGTTATAAATATTCTCTAAGAACTTGTTTGAGCACCTTTTGCCTTTATATCTGCTTTCAGCTTCTTTGTGTATCCCCTGAACATCTTTTGGATCCTCTCAGTTGTAATAGTTGGCCTCCCTTTAGTCTAGCCCCCTCAAACACACGGTCTTCCTGACATGTCTTTTCTAACTCTGCCAGATTGCTTGGCAAATCTTTGCAGATTCTTCCTAACATATCTTTTATAACTCTGCCAGATGTCATACACTGGAGACTGAGAGGATCTTATCAAAATATTTTATGTTAATTTTGCCTTATGTTCAGATTGTTGCAGGACACACACACACGCGCACACATTTATTTTTTAGCTTCATTGAATGTTTTTTGTAGATAAGATTGTAAATTAAAAGTACCCTTTCCTTTTTTTTCCCCTCAAATCTATTGTGGCTATGTGGTTGGGGTCTAATCTTGATGATTCTTAGGATACTCTTGCTGGCACAGGAGTCAGTCTTCTCCCTCAAATTCACTCTCATAATCAGAACTGAATTCTACATTGTCCTCTTGTTTGGACAAATACTCCTTCTCTAACTCACTCCCTGACTCCTGCAATATGTTCCTAAATCATTTGACCATATTGCATTGAGCATATGTGCAGCCAAATTTTGAAGGCAAACTTCGATGCAGAGGTATTTATCTCTTTTATCTATATACAAAGGGTCTTTTTCTAGGGTCCCTGGAGGACTAGTGGTTAGTCCTCAGCGGTCTCACCGCTGCTGTCCGGGTTCGATTCCCGGCCAGGGAACCGACTCCACCCACTGGGGTTGCTGGGGTTGCACAGGACAGTGCATTCCCAGTGCTGGTCCCAAGCCCAGATAAAACTGGGGAGGGTTGTGTCAGGAAGGTCATCTGGCGTAAAAACTGTGCCAAATCAAATACGCGGACCAATGATCTGCTGTGGTGACCCCTAACGGGAGCAGCCGGAAGAAGAACAACAACAAAGCGTCATTCAGAGTCCTCAGGTTGAAATAAAGGGTTCTACTTGGAACCCTTACTGATAAGGAACTTTTAATATTTTTTAATGTTTTAAGGGACAGTAGGCTACTTAAGGTTTCTACATTGTCTAAATATGTACAACTATAAGGAGTACAGGGCAAGAGAGTAGATTGCTCTCTCAGACAATACTGTCATTTCTTACACTGCAGAAGGTAAAAAGACTGAGACCCATACTTTAATACACAACTCTGTTTTGGCCTCTCCTTCATTCGTGTGTGGTACAATGTGAGAAAATGTTCTGGGATTATATTGGGGAGTCTCTCAGACTAGAATAAAAGATGGCTGGTATATATTGTTTTAGCGAAACAGAGAAAGGTTAGGGGTTTCTCTGTATTCATTTAGGTGTGTGCGTGTGTGTGTGTGCTTTTGCGTGTGTGTGTGTGTGTGTGTGTGTGTGTGTGTGTGTGTGTGTATACATGGCCTTTGTGCTGCTCAGACCAGATTCAGTTCACATAAATCTTCTTGAAATGACCAACCTCACATAGTGAAATGACACACGAAACCCCTTCCCACGCTTGGGGGATTGTCCGGATGGCAGGTGTGTGTGTGTGTGTGTGTGTGTGTGTGTGTGCACAGGTGAGAGTACAAATAAGAAGAAAGAGTATGTGACAGAGCAGATTTTTCGTTTCATATTGACAAAGACTGCTCAGCTTCCACTGATATTCATTTGAGAAAATAAGCAAAACATTAAGTTTAATCTTAACAATAGAGTATTTTTGTATTTCTGATTTTCAATTTTTAAAACAGGTCAGTTTGTCTCCAACAGATCCTATATACTTATTTCTTTGATTATTATTATTATTACAATATGGTCAACAATAGCCTATAGAGAACTGATTCAGGACAGGGTAGTGATTCAGGACAAGGTAGTGCATGGCAAAGTGAGGCATTTTGACACCAAAGAGATAGAACTGCTATAGACAAACCTCCTAGAAATAAAAATAAATGAAGAGTTCTGTGTGAATAAGAGAAGTCAGAGTGTGAGTGTGCGGGCGAGTGTAAGGCTGGGGTCTGCAGTGAGGTCTGCTGTTTGCATCGCCTTCCACTTCCACTCAGTACTAAACAGCGTGAAAATATCTGGTGACTCCAGTAAATAGCGTTAATTGGGGGAAATGATTTAATACTTTATCGCGCGCTCTCGGACGCAGGCTGTGTGCGCGCGCTTCAAAGGCCGACAGTGTCCACTAGCTCCTCCCTCCCTGGACCTTGTGACAACAACAACTCATCCCAGAGCGCGAGCTGCACTTTTCAGCTCATTTTCTTCCTGTCACTCTGTCTCTGTCTCTCTCTTTCTCTGTCTCTCTCTCACGCTCTTTCTTCCAATCTCCAAATGGTCGTCCCGCCGTGAACAGCCTAATTCATTACCACTGACGATTTTTCTCGTCATCCCCCCCCTCTTTTTTTTTTTTTTTTTTTTTTTTTTTTTTTTTTTTTTTTTTTTTTTTTTTTTTTTTTTTTTTTTTTTTTTTTTTTTTTTTTTTTTTTTTTTTTTTTTTTTTTTTTTTTTTTTTAATACTTTTCTCGGCGGAGCGCGCTGCTGTGGATTTCTCCTAACGAGCTCGCGCGTTACTTTTTATCTTCTTTGGGGGTTTTTGCCCACTTTTTGAACTTTAGCGCGTGCTCGAGCTGACCATGGCCGTGCCGGCTGCTTTGATCCCCCCTTCCTCCCTGGTCCAGCCGTCTCCCATCTCATCCTCCTCTTCCTCCTCGGTGAACACTTCATCACCGTCGGCCACCTCGTCTCCGTGTCCGTCGGTGGCTCCGGCCGCTGCGAACCCGTTCCGCTCGGAGCTGAGAGCGGCGGCAGGAAGCCCGTCCATGCCGATCGCCGTCACTCCGACTCCGCTCGCCTCCAAGCCCGTGTACTCGACCCCGTCGCCCGTGGAGAACACCCCGCAGAATAACGAGTGCAAGATGGTGGAGCTGAGGGGCGCGCAGGTGGCCTCGTTCACCGTGGAAGGACGGGAGCTCATCTGCCTGCCGCAGGCCTTCGATCTGTTCCTGAAGCACCTGGTCGGCGGGCTGCACACCGTCTACACCAAGCTGAAGCGGCTCGAGATCACGCCCGTGGTGTGCAACGTGGAGCAGGTGCGCGTGCTGCGCGGCCTCGGCGCCATCCAGCCCGGCGTGAACCGCTGCAAGCTCATCTCCCGCAAAGACTTCGAGACGCTCTACAACGACTGCACCAATGCCAGGTAAGCGCTGAGCGCCTGAGTTGCACCGTGAGCTCGGAAAAGTGCCGATTCTTCTTGCAGCTTCGCGCGCAAACAGCTCCAACTTCTCGGTTACTTGTTCCACGGTAAAGAAGCGCAGAGCTGCAGAGAACCGACTCCGAGCTCGCGCGTTCAACCGACCTGATGACGTAGCGGAGCCGTTACCGCCGTGCACTTAACTTTTACACCAGACACCAGGTACACAGCACTTACCTTACAACACACTGACTTCTAAACACACAGCTAAACATCAGTGTGTTACGTGAACTTCTAGAAACTGATGCAAAACACACAGCTACACATCAGTGTGTTACGTGAACTTCTACACCACTGGTGCGAAACACACAGCTACACATCAGTGTGTTACATGAACTTCTACAAACTGATGCAAAACACACAGCTACACATCAGTGTGTTACATGAACTTCTACACCACTGATGCAAAACACACAGCTACACATCAGTGTGTTACATGAACTTCTACACCACTGATGCAAAACACACAGCTACACATCAGTGTGTTAGATTTACTTAAACACTTCTTACACAAAGTACACTGCTAAACAGTGTGTTAGATTAATTTATAAACCACTGGCACAAGAAACACAGCTAAACATCATTGTCCTGGATTAACTTTTATACCACTGACACAAAGTACACAGCTAAGCATCAGTGTGTTAAATTAATTTACACAGCACTGACACAAAGTGCACAGCTAAACAACAGTGTGTTTAAGATTAACTTTTACAGTCATCATGGACATCCAGCTGGACCTTTATAAATAAGCACTGTAAAAATAACACTGGCTTATTTGCTGTGCATGTCGCCCGTGATATTATATAATCAAGTGTAGTTTTGAATATGATAACTTCTCAGAATTTTGGAATTAACTCTCAGGGCAGTATTCACAACAAACTAGCAAAGAAATGATTATGACAGTCTAATGAATGAAGGTTAACAGTAACAGTTGTCATCATATCTTTAACCTGAGTAAAGCCTGGGTGTGTTTACACACTGCTATATAAACATGCTCCTTTGCAAGCATTAAATATATATTTTTTAAATAAACACTTATACAGATTGAATAAGTGGACCTCATTAATTAAATTCCTTTAATTTAATATATAACATTTGACCAATAATGCTCTCTTAATATATTTGATCATACAAAAAAATCAGATAAAAAAAAAAGAGGAAAAAAATCCTATTATTTTTATTAAATGGTTACTAATGGTTATTAAATATTGCGCAATGTGCGTGATCTCCTAGTGCATTCAGTTATTTCTAGTGTTTGCGTTTCTTTCTTTCTTTCTTTCTTTCTTTCTTTCTTTCTTTCTTTCCTTTTTTAAAGTGCTTGTGGTCAGTAAGTGCATACTGTCAATAATGAGGAAGGATTCACTGCCTCCAGCTAATTTTAAGTAGTGGAAACATAGATTACTGTTAAGAGGGTGCAAGACATGTGACCTTTTTCCTTAAATAACCTCTGTCTAATTGTCAGTAAAAAACATAATAATAATAATAATAATAATAATAATAATAATAATAACAATAATTTTATTTTATAGTAAGACAAATGTTATTTAAGGAGAAAGGTCACATGTCTTATTCTTGTTATTGTTAGTATAATTAATTAATTAGTATAATATATTAATAATATGTAATTATTGTCGTATATATATATGACGAAATCACAAAATAATTTTTTTTTTACCTTAGTTACAAAATACCGGTCTCTTAAATACTGGCCACATTAAGCCTTGACCCATGTCATATTTTTCTATATGATTAATTACAGTTTTTCCTAAACATGGAAATAATGGGAATACAAAAAATATTAAACCTAAATGAGTGCTCGTCACCATACTTCATGCCTTCATTTTTGGGTTGTTTGACCAGTGCGTCCGCAGTGAGGATCATTTCTGTTTGCGAGAGCTGGAACTTAAAGTGGTGAGGCCTCAATCCTCAGTCCGCTCAGACCTTCCCTGGTCACACAGTGATATAGTGTGTGATTTGAACTCTGAGGTTGGCACTGAGAGTGGCCAGCGATGGGGTTAAAGGATAATGCAGTGCTACATATTGCTTTAATGACGCTAAAGTGCTCGCCTATTACTGCTGCACGGAGAGGCCTGTAATGGTCTCTGAAAGCACCTGGTACTGCCGGTGTTATGCTGAAATCAATCATATCCGCCATGGCTGCTTCCCATTTGGAGAATTACATCATTTGTATGGACAAAGATATCCTGTGTAGATGGAACACAAACAGATGGCGCAGGAGGAGCAGCTCTTCGTTACACTGCTGATTGAATCTGCGTGTGTATGTTTGGCACTTTAAGCAGAAAGGTTTGCACTTTAGCTCCTAATTCAAGTATTCGTGGGTCACTTGAGTTTTGATGATGCAGCAAAGTATTGCAGATGTTTGTCGAGTGTCTGGAGCCATACATGAAACCATATAAAGAAACCTTGTCTTTTAGAGTGACCTAGTGGAATTTATGTATATGTCTTTTTGTGTAGTGTGTACTGAGAGCACCAAATAGAT